TTCCTGAATAAGTAAATCATTTAATAAAACATTATTTAGCCATATACTGTTTCATTCACCTCATGGGTTTGTATTGTGAATTGGTTTGAAAACATTCCAATTGCTCTACATTATCCAAAAACGAATTTGATCACATCCTAAATTATACAAGATAAAATTTGGTTCTCAAATATAAAATCCATGCTAAAATGTGATAATATTGCATCATTGGATTGATTATGGTTTCCAACCATTTGTTTCCTTATTTTTACATAGTAGCTTAGTTAAGTTGTTTGACAAGTTTTTAGTCAAGAGTTTTTCACCTAAATATGTTTAAGTAGAAGCTGAATGATTTTTGCTGATAAACTATTTTGAATGGAAGTTTTGAATAATTCATTCCATATGTGCATCATTTTCAGTTTCACCATGATTTGAGCTCGATTCACACTTTCATCTGTTGTCCTAATACACAGCCAGTAGGGTGTGTGCTCATAAACAATATATGGCAGTCCAAATAATATCTAATAAGATAACATATTTACCACCCCTACTGGACTCACAATGCATATTACAGTTATTCAACATTTTATGGCATCCATACCGGGGTGAGCAATACATATATATGAGAGTTGCACAACATATGTGTTTAAACACACTGATGATCAGTTATTAACTCTTTAATTTAAAGACCTCAAAGATCTATTTGACAGAAAATAGCTAAATGTACCTTAACACTAAAACTAACAGTTGATTGAAGAAAAAATATCACTGAGTGCCAATTAAAGAAGATACAAAATAAACAGCATAAACTTGTGATAAAGGGATGTTTTCATTATTCGGTAATTCTGATATTTTAGAGAACAGACTAAAGAATAAAATGTGGATAGTAAACATTTTATCCCTTTATATATTTACCATACTTAACCAAGAAATTATAAAAGAAAAAAATTGCACATTTTCACTGGACTGCTTGAGAACCATGTAGAAAACAGACTCTACAATGTGGTCAGACATCTCAATCGATAGTGTTTATACCCTTGTCATTGTGAGGATCAGGTCACATTTTGAGTCTGACTTGATGCTCTGCTAGCAAAATATTTTAGGAAGAAGCAACCATGCATTCAGAAATTGCATCAACTGGACTGAAGAATCATATTTAGTCTCTGATAAACCATTTTGGAGCGGGATGAGATCTCAATTTACAGTTTCTAATTTCAAATGCGTTAAGCATTTTGAAACTATTCAAGAAAATAAAATAACGACTGCAGTTTGAAGGGTAACAATCTGCAATGAAGCCTGATAACTCTAAAAGTTATGAAGGTTTTTAAGAGAATGTATTAGTAAGCCTGTGAGCAGAAAATATGACAACACATTCAACTTAACAGAATTCAGGAATCCAATTAACAACTACAATAACATCCCGGAGGAGTAAAATAAACCATTTGTGCAAAAGCAAGCTCTGTCCTTGAGAAAGGGTTTGTGGAGCTCCAATGTCTTACGGCCCCACTCCAATGCACCAAAACACTAATTAAATCACAGCAACTTTTAAAACCAAATTTGACAAGGGCAGCACTAACATTAATACGCAAAATACCATTAAAGTTCCCCAGTATTAGTTCATTTAACAGGCTGTCTGCTTATGGCCTTTAAGCATACATTTTGGAGAATGTGGAAAAATATGTATTGGAGCCATGCTTCGGTTTGAGAACAAAAATGCTAGAAACAGAGCAGGCAGACTGAGGCATTTGTAAAGCTAGTAAAACACCGCCCGCCTGTCCTAAAGTTTTTTTCTTGCTCTACTCGTGCTGTCTTGGTCTGCTCTGTCAATAGCAAACATGCCAGAACTGCCAAGGGGGACAATGGAAGGAAGTTGGAATAAAATTTTGAGACTGGAAGAATCAGTGGGCCTCAGTTACCTCATCAACTCAGACTCATCAAATTGATTATTATTAGATTGACTGATTCCCTGCATAATACAGTTTCCCTTTACCTAGAATTAAAACCCAACATGAAAAAGCAGAATTCAGTTCCTATGCTACACTTATCAGGAACAAATTTACATAAAGCTGGACAAATGCTGACAGCCCGAGTTCTTTCAAGTAAAAGTTAAATACCCATTTGTTTAGGGCTGCCTTTGACTGTTCAAGTTAAAATGTTGCTGTAACTGATGTATGTTTAAGGTTGTAGTTCAAAAATTTTATTTATTTTAATCTTTACTTTTTTCTCTATTGTATTCATTTAATTAATTTAATTTAATTTAATTTAATTTAATTTAAGCACTTTCAATTGTCCATCTACTGAATAGTGCTATAAAAATAACTTGCCTTGCCTTGCCTGTATGAAATAATTTGCTTGACATTACTCATAGGATCGAGCAATATTTTTTTACTTCTTAAGAACCTGGTGAAGTTCTAAGAAGGAGAATTTTAAACAATTAAGGAAGTCTTTTAAAGCCATCCTCAATAACAGTAGACTCAAAAAGTTGTTGCTATAACAACATGGTATCAATATAAGGTATTAAGTTTGGCTACTTTTCCAAGATCTAGAAGAAAAACAAAACTCCCTCAGATGAAAGGAAGATGGTTTGGGTCCTCTGTTCTGTTGTTTGGGTGTAAGACCCAGCCACCACTGGGGTCCACCATGAACTGGAACCATAAAGAACACCAGAGTAACTGCCCCAGCTTGGAGAAAAATTGAAAAAAAAAAAAAAAAAAAAAAAAAGCCCTGTTTCAAAACCAATCATGCTATGTTCTATCAGTCATGCTGTTCCATAACTAAAGATTATTATTAGATTACAATTGTCTACCTCCTAGGGTGGTCATTAACAGACTCCAAGGATAAAACCAGAACATTAAGTCACATCCTCAGGTACCAGAGGTCATGGCAACACATTTTTCAACTGGTAGATGCTTGTATGCTTTACTTTTCATATATTGCCACTGTGGTCACAATTAGTTAAAAGCCTTCAGGTGATCCAAAATGCTGCAGCCAGAGTTTTGATGAAAACTAAAAAGGGATATAATAATTTCTCTTATAGCTTCTCCTTATTGGCTTCCAGTTAAATCCAGAATACAATTTAGAATCCCCCTTCTCACATATCAATAGTTAAATGGCCAAGCTTCATCTTATATCAGAGATCTGATTGTTCCTTATGTTCCTAACAGAGTACTTTGCTCTAAATCTGCAGGTTTTCTTCTGGTTCTTAGAATTTTTGAAAGTAAAATGGAAACAGATCCTTTAGTTATTTGGCTCCTCTCCTATGGAACAAACTACCAGTTGTAATATGTGAGGAAGATAACCTGCCAACTTTTAAGGCATGGCTAAAACTTTCCTATTTAATAAAGCTTATAGTCAGAGTGGCTCAGTTTATCCTGGCTTTCTCAATAGTTATGCTGCTATAGGCTTATGCTGCTGGAGGACATAGGGACCACTCTTCATCATTTTGCTTCATTCTATCTTTATTCTTCCATTCTGCAGTATTTGTAAATTTAATGTCCAACGCTATGCGCTCTGGTTTTTGTCATCATAGTAGCTTCATCTGGTCTGTTCCTGTTTGGCTGTGACATCATCATTGAGAGAAATATCACCTGTGCTGCTGGCATCAACACTTTTGTTTGTAGATGTTGGAGGTTGGCCCGATTTTCAGTGTAGTCCTCTTTTTCTGACTGTGAGTAACTGTACGTGCTCTCTTTCATCTTTTGACAAGGGAGCTGACTTGAAACTCGTCTGCCTGGCTGTGTGTTTATAGGACATGGCCACCTGTGCAGCTGGTTGACAGTTGCCTTTGTATATTTGCTTCTTTTTGACCACTCACGCTGAACATGGTTCTGTTGGAGGTTTCTTCCTGTTAAAGGGAGTTTTTCTCTCCACTGTTGTGTGAGGGATTAATGTCAAGTTGATTTTTTCTTAGAAAAACTGAACCAATCTGACTGTATTGTCTCTGTAAAATGCCTTGAGATGATGTGTGTTGTGAATTGGAGATATATAACTAGACTAAACTGAATTGAATAAAATTTTCTGACCCATACTTCCAACTTTTGGGGGCATCAAAGTTAAGAATTTCTACTTAGATGAGAAAAAATACAATACCTACAAAAATACAATGCAATAACATTTGTTATTTTTTTAAGTAGCTAACATGAAGATAATAGATGTTTACCAAGGAAAACTTTTTTGGTCAGGGGAAAGACAGAACTTGCATTAAATTTAAATAAACTTCTGCAAAGAAAGTGCCCAAATTATATCAAAGGATTGTTGAGAGTTGCAAAAGTTGTGTCCAACTATCTGATTCTAGTATAGGCGTATGTATTTGGGGTACTGTATTTCTAGGATTTACAACATTTGTTGATTTCTCTAAAAAGGATTGAACTACCTGTTCAGCATTGCGAGAAACACAAAATGACATTATCAATGAGGGGAAACTGTGAACAAGGACACTTTGCTTATTGTCATAAATTAATTCCAGTGAGCACACAATGAAGGCTACATTAACCTGATTTGACTCCTGCAGTGCATAAAACCGTATCAAGGAACTTTATGGGACTGAATGCAAACAGATGGTCGTCTGATTAAAGTAAAAAAAGAAAAACACAGAGCGTACTTCAAGGTCAGTCACAAATGAAACTCAGGGGCTTTAAAACAACTAAGCAAAGAAACAGACATACAAATTATGTAACTAAGTCAAAATAGGCACATAGGGAGGTGATTGTTTGTGAAGAAGGTAATGTTGCACAAGCTCAATTTAATGAAGTTTCCTGACCTTGACTAAATCTCTTAAAGCAAAAGTGTCCATGTGGACACTGAGGGGGGAAATTAGTGCCAACACTTGCCAAAGCCTGGGCCGTCCAAGGACAGAGACAGCAAACCACTAGCACTTTGTCCGTTGCATTGTTTGCGAGGAGATTGATTGTGAACTTTAATAGGCATGCCTGTGCATAACAATGTGTGTAAACAGAGTGCTGAGGAGCGCATAGTGTGGAGCCCCCCCCCACCCCTCCCACTCCTGTCCTGCACTGCTGTACCTGGTGTCAACAGGATGACGGAGGTGACGATCAGCGAGCAGATGACCAGAATGACAAGAAGGGCGATCGCTATTCCCTTCCAGTTCCTCTGCGGAGGGTTGCTGCCCACCAGCTCCTACAGAAGACAAAAGAAGGGAAGAAAAACTATTAATTCAAACAATATATAAAAAAATAACAATATTTCAATGCAGGCAATTAGAGTAAAAATGAACTAGAAAAACCAAAAGAGTGAGGAAAAGAGTTATCAAAACAGTGGATGAAACGAGGTGTAAATGGCGAGCTCCTGGGAAGACAAGACGGGGGTGTGAGTCAAGGACGAACATGAGTCAGAGTCTTAGCTTCTCAAGGAGACGTGGCAGTGGCGACGGTGGCGAGAGAAGGAGGGGGAAAGAATCCCTAATGAGCCGAGCATCAGCAGCCATCACACGCAAACGAATGTGACAGATAAAAATGGAGCTCATGACACGTCGGTGAATTGCAACACTTGGCGACGGTGCAGAGAGGAAGCTTTGGGGCTCGCAAAACGGCTCTGAGTAATGAGCAACCTTGAGGCATATTTTATCTGCCTGACCTATGAATTCAAAGAGAAATGAGCTGATTGGGGTTTGATATTGTTCCATATACAATATAGCTCTTTAAAAGGTAACAGTAAAAGGTGCAAAGCTCTTGTAACGGGGGGAGCAACTTAAGGGGGTATATTTTTACCCAGAGCAAAACAGCATTAAATGGATGTGACACATGGTGATCTGCAGCAGGTGGTTCAGGGAAATTACAAAGCAAGCAGCAAATTTGCTCAATTTATTACAGAAAATCCCTTAACAGTCCAGTCAGCATCTATGGATCATTATGGCTGTACTTTATATTTCCAGTCGGACGCTGGTATGGCGGACGCTTTATCTTCATAAATTATGGTGTCAAACTTTATCTCACGGTAAACAAAAGCCATCGGTCAGTACACTAGTGACTTCAATGTATCATCTTACCCACTTTTACACCTACAAGTACTTTTCAAAATGTTTTCCACAAGCAAATTCAAGATTAGAATTAATTAAAGGATACAAAAAGTCAACCAAATACCTCCTTTGACTTTTTTTCTAACATTATTTTATGACAGAAAAAAACTCTGTATTAACAGACAAAAAAAAAGTAGAGTTGTGATCTTAAAAGTTTTCTATTGCCTTTGTTTCTCCAAAACACCTAAATAAAATCATATTGTTTTCAGAAATCAATTAATTTGGAACTAATTACTAACACCTGATAGAAATCCTTAATGAGTGAGAGCATATAGTCTCCAACTTACCATGGACATACTTCAAGCTATTTTGACATTTCGTAATCGACTACTTTACATTTACATATATTTACATTTATATTGATAAATACTTTCATTTCCAACTCTACCATGGTGCCATCAGACAAGTTTGCCTTCTGGCTAAATAAAAGCAAAACAAAGTTAGACAAATTGGGTCCCTTGCACCATCTTCTCTAACAGGGCATCCACCACACACCTCTCATTTCAGACAGTGGGTGACATGCTGTGGTTCCTTGTGAACTGCTTGACTAGGAATAGTCTAGCTGCCAACTAGCACCTGGGGACCCATGTTAGCTTGGTTTGACATTTAAAGGTGTTCAATATAAATACTCAAGCATGATGAGGTCTTTCAAAAGGAATGTATACTAACACTGTGTAAGCGTACGCAGTTGTCCAGCTTTGTTTGTACCTGTCAGAGTTGAGTCCATGTAGATGATAAATAATGCGATAGCAAAAGATTCCTTAAAGAAGATTTTCTTACAGAATGAAATCAGGTGAAACTAAAACTTTTACACTTGAGAAGTTTGGGTATAATTGCTGCTCTATATGGGTCTCTATACTCCAGTTAATGATAAATCGATTACTAAATTAGTTGAAAATTATTTAAATAATAGATTAATCATGATTAATATGATTTATCATTTAACCACAGTTCGTTTTCGTCCACTGTATAATAGTTATATTGCTATATAATATATATAGCTATATAATAGCTATATTTCTATGAAGTAAAATCCAGTTAGAAATACCTTAAAGCAGACATATTTGATATCCTTGTTCATAACCCCTTGTGAGATTTCCAGGGTTGTCCAGGGGAAGAGAGGTCATGAGATTTTGCCTGTACCCCAACTCCACCCAAATATTCAAAGACCCCTTAATACCTGAGGGCCCACCAGCTTAGGCCAGGCTTAGAAAATATCAAAAATTTACTATTATACTTTCATTACAAATAAATAAGCCATTGCAACATCAGCAATATTTCTTTTTCAACAAGTCTATATGTATATATAATATGATCTTCTTTATCAGCATCACAACCTCCTGATGGATGATAATACCTCTCCAACTTTTAAGACCTCTTCCTTAAAGTTTATAGTCAAAACCTGGCAAAATAAAATGGTGAAGGAGCTATAAACACTTTATATGCCCCCAATGTGTTTTTTCTCATAATTAAGCAGCCCTAAACATCTCCCCGACATCCCTAACCAACAATCATTAAGCACAGGAAATTTGCAAAAAAGGCTCATCAAGTATAAACTGTTAGAGCAGGATTAATATGTTTTTTAATCTATTTGTAAAGGAGAAAATGTCGAAGCAGAGCACGCACTTCAGGGACCTATGACTGCGGTGTTAATGAATACACACAGAGGCTTTAATGAAGCTGAATGGCTGAGCTAAGAAACAAACCTTTTAGTGACCTCTTTCCCAACATAATTGAAAAGAGCCCAGGAAATCATTGGTCTGCAGATAAGGGCAATCAGGCCCAGACTGTCCATTACCTACGTTCATTAAAACCAAGAAGCAGTTCGTTAGTGCTGAAGTTATTTGATGACCAAGAAGGACACATCAAACAGGAACAAGAAGTAAAAGGTTATTAAAACTTAGATTTTGTCAGGGTGGTTTTACATATAATATGTCTGCTTGCTTTACAATACAGACAGCATTTAATCCGATTTGGATTCATGAGCTCATAACTAGAGCCGTGTTTCTTTTTAGATCACACAGTTTGGCTTTATCATTAATGTCATGCCTCTTTGCAGCATTCTTTATGTATTTAACTTTGCTAATAAAAATATTGAATATGAAAGGCAACAATTGCTTCTAGGCTAATATAACATGCTAAGAAACACAGTTAAAAAAGTAAACAGTGCAGAAAAGAGGACAAATAATTGCACCGCAACAGCAAAGAAACAACAATTAGTAGGTGTATAATCCACAATAATACAACTTCTAAAACATAGATTCTAAAACAGAACCACAGCACTGAAGACCAGAAGTGTCCATATAAGAGCATTATGATGGAGATCCTGAAGAAGGCAGATTCAAATATATCGACTCTGGAAACTGGTTTCAAATGTAGTCCGTTTTGAGGCCTCTGTCATGATGGGACCCCTAAACGACCAGCTTCATCTGGACAGGATCTAAAACTGTTTGTGTTTGGTTGATCTGGTCTAGATATACACTATATTGCCAAAAGTATTTGCTCACCCATCCAAATTATTGGAATCAGGTGTTCCAATCACTTCCATGGCCACAGGTGTATAAATTCAAGCACCTAGGCATGCAGACTGTTTTTACAAACATTTGTGAAAGAATGGGTCGCTCTCAGGAGCTCAGTGAATTCCAGCGTGGAACTGTGATAGGATGCCACCTGTGCAACAAATCCAGTCGTGAAATTTCCTCGCTCCTAAATATTCCACAGTCAACTGTCAGCTGTATTATAAGAAAATGGAAGTGTTTGGGAACGACAGCAACTCAGCCACGAAGTGGTAGGCCACGTAAACTGACGGAGCGGGGTCAGCGGATGCTGACGCGCATAGTGCGAAGAGGTCGCCAACTTTCTGCAGAGTCAATCACTACAGACCTCCAAACTTCATGTGGCCTTCAGATTAGCTCAAGAACAGTGCGCAGAGAGCTTCATGGAATGGGTTTCCATGGTCGAGCAGCTGCATCCAAGCCATACATCACCAAGTGCAATGCAAAGCGTCGGATGCGGTGGTGTAAAGCACGCCGCCACTGGACTCTAGAGCAGTGGAGACGCGTTCTCTGGAGTGACGAATCGCGCTTCTCCATCTGGCAATCTGATGGACGGGTCTGGGTTTGGCGGTTGCCAGGAGAACGGTACTTGTCTGACTGCATTGTGCCAAGTGTAAAGTTTGGTGGAGGGGGGATTATGGTGTGGGGTTGTTTTTCAGGAGCTGGGCTTGGCCCCTTAGTTCCAGTGAAAGGAACTCTGAATGCTTCAGCATACCAAGACATTTTGGACAATTCCATGCTCCCAACTTTGTGGGAACAGTTTGGAGCTGGCCCCTTCCTCTTCCAACATGACTGTGCACCAGTGCACAAAGCAAGGTCCATAAAGACATGGATGACAGAGTCTGGTGTGGATGAACTTGACTGGCCTGCACAGAGTCCTGACCTCAACCCGATAGAACACCTTTGGGATGAATTAGAGCGGAGACTGAGAGCCAGGCCTTCTCGTCCAACATCAGTGTGCGACCTCACAAATGCGCTTCTGGAAGAATGGTCAAAAATTCCCATAAACACACTCCTAAACCTTGTGGACAGCCTTCCCAGAAGAGTTGAAGCTGTTCTAGCTGCAAAGGGTGGACCGACGTCATATTGAACCCTATGGATTAGGAACGGGATGTCACTTAAGCTCATATGTGAGTCAAGGCAGGTGAGCAAATACTTTTGGCAATATAGTGTATCTGTGTGAAAGCAGACTGGACCAACTAAGAGTGTTAATCTTCTTCCTTTTACCGATCTTTGCATCCACCAGCAGTGTGAATGAGCCTTAACAATAACATGAAGGTTACAGAAATGGTACCAGAGACAAAAGTTCACATGGGTTAAGCTCTTTCCAGAAGTTAAATGTAAAACTCACTATCCAGCAACAACCATCCATTGCAAACTTCCCCCATTTTCCTTCTGCTTCTCTTTCGCCTTAGTTTTCGCTACTCGTATTCAGGGGGGGATTTATCATTTGGAAATAATAGGCCCCCTATTTCCTGGGGGAACCATAAAACTCTATTTATATAGATGGTTAATACAACTATTCCTTATTTGTGCACATTAATCAT